GAGAGAGAGAGAGAGAGAGAGAGAGAGAGAGAGAGAGAGAGAGAGAGAGACAGAGAGAGAGAGAGAGAGAGAACATTTTTCCGTTGAATTCACGTTCGATTCTCTAATCTCCTTACTAGCCGTTGCCATAACTAACCAACTGAATAATTATGTAATTTACTAACTAACTAATTGGCTAACTCTCCGACTAACTAATTAAGCAGCCAAGTAAATAATTAACTAGCTAACCAACTAACCAAGTAAATTACTAACATGCATTAGATTCTGAGTTCAGTTTATGTTTAAAAATTAAAACGATTTAAAATATTTAATTGATATTGTTTCAAATTTGCATGTATAATGTGAAGCACATTGTAACATTATTATATATGACAATATATAAACTACAAATTAACAATATAAATCCATATACAACAATATAAACAAAAATTATCACAATCTGACATCTCACAATATCACATCTCGTGTCTCACATCTCATGTCTCACATCTCACATCTCATGTCTCACGTCCCGTGTCTAACGGCTCACATCTCATGTCTCATGTCTCACATCTCGTGTCTCACATCTCACATCTCATGTCTCACGTCCCGTGTCTAACGGCTCACATCTCGTGTCTCACATCTCATGTCTCACGTCTCATGTCTCACATCTCATGTCTCACATCTCATGTCTCACATCTCATGTCTCACATCTCATGTCTCACATCTCATGTCTCACGTCCCGTGTCTAACGGCTCACATCTCATGTCTCATGTCTCATATCTCATGTCTCACGTCCCGTGTCTAACGGCTCACATCTCATATCTCATGTCTCATATCTCATGTCTCACGTCCCGTGTCTAACGGCTCACATCTCATGTCTCATGTCTCACATCTCATGTCTCACGTCCCGTGTCTAACGGCTCACATCTCATGTCTCATGTCTCACATCTCATGTCTCACGTCCCGTGTCTAACTGCTCACATCTCATGTCTCACGTCACATGTCTCACATCTCATGTCTCACATCTCATGTCTCACATCTCATGTCCCACGGCTGACATCTCACATCCCATGCCTTGTGTCTCGTCTCGTGTCTTGCGTCATATGGTCTTATGGCTCGTGTCTCATGTCTCACATCCCGTATCTCATATCTCATGTCTCATGTCTCATGTCTCATGTCTCATGTCTCATGTCTCATGTCTCATGTCTCATGTCTCATGTCTCATATCTCATGTCTCGTGTCTCACGCCTCACGTCTCGTGTCTTGCAGGCATCCGTCGTCGATGTACCCGGTGGCATCAACGTTCCGCGGGGCGTACCCCGGCTCGCTTCATGTAAATACTGGAACATTGCCAAGGTAGGTGGCGCCACTGCCGTCGCCGACGTTGTCCCACCACGGGTGAGTCGGACGTGGCACGGTTAGGGGATGCCTTCACTTAATTCAGGGTTAGGTGGGTGTTGTCAGTGTGGGTGTGGTTAGGTGGGTGTCCTCTTTGAGGGTGGGGTTAGGGTGGTGTCAGTGTGGGTGGGAGTTTCATAAATAAAGTGCGGACATGTGGGTGGATGTCTCGCGGGGGTGCTGGGCGTTTCGTCGCATCGCCGCGGCCGCCATCGTCACAGCTGCTCGCTTGTTTTAGGTACAGTCCGCCCGGCATTGGCCTGCCCGGGTCACCGGCGATGCCGCCGCACCACCACCACCCGGGTATCGCCCACCCAGCCATCGTCACGCCGGGACCAAAACAAGAAATCCATCCTCAGGATCACCATAGGTACGATGCGCACATGTATGTATATACTTATATATATATTATACGCAGCGGCTACGCGTCCGGTCATCCATTACAAAGCTCAGCGCAGATTCCAAAATCCACGGCACTATTAGGCCACGCCCTCTTTCTAATCGTTGATTTTACCAGCATGTACTATTGCTTCAAAAGGTACAAAAACAATTTTTTTGATAAAATACTTAAAGGTAAGTAATATTATTGTAAAAACGCATTGTTTATTTTTTTTACTGAAAAAATATAGTTGGGTTTACCTAAGAAATATATATAGCCTGGGAGCTGGGTGTCCGGTAACCGGCCGCGTAGCCACGGCCTATATTCTATGTCATATATATATTATATATATATATATATATATATATATATATTATATTTATGTATATAATATACACACACACGCATATATATCGTCTATATATATATGCGAACGATGGTATAATAAGAATTGGTTAAGTTTGAAGTTGAGAATAATACGAAAAATACATTGTTACGATACGTAATATTGAAAATGTAAGATTTGTACGAAAACGTATAGGTAAGGTATCCGATCAATACGAAAATGAAAATAGGTGGTGCATGAGAATCATACAAAACAGACATACAGATAACATACAATAACAACAATACGAAATAACCCATGCTGATCCCCCCCCACACACACGAACCACCCTTCCCTCACCGTACTTCCGTACTTCGCGCTGACCTTTGACCTCTGACCCCTCAGGAACTCGCTGCTCCTGCACGAGTCACACGGTGGCCAGCCGGCGGCGAGCCACCAGTCGCCGTCGTCGCAGCAGCCGCCGCCGCCGCACCACCACCACCACCACCAGGGGGCGGTGGCGGGCGGTGGCGGGGGGGAGCGCCCGCTCAGCAAGGCTGCGCTCAAGAAGAAGAACCACATCAAGAAGCCGCTGAACGCGTTCATGCTTTACATGAAGGAGATGCGCGCGTCCGTCGTCGCCGAGTGCACGCTCAAGGAGAGCGCCGCCATCAACCAGATCCTCGGACGCCGG